GAGAGAAGATGGTTGCCTGTCATTTGTTGATACGAAAGTTCTGATGGGAGCACAAGAAATGCAACATGTATGATTTGCCACTTGCCACTTCCGCTCTTGCTGCATGGCTGACCATAACTCCTAAGCCCTTAACTGTGAAGTTGGTTGCAGGTGCACTGGTGTGTAGAGCTCAGGGAACTCGTTTCCAAGTTTTGGCTGTGTAGATTGTAGGGCTTACGAAGGACCTGGGATTTGGGTAAGCGGTAAGCAGTGACAAACTCAAAACGCAATCAAGACTGTAAGCACACCGAAGATGGAATCAAAACCTTGAAAAAAAAACATACCTGATTTTCCGTGAGTCTTCCGTTCGAACTAGCATCTGAACTTTGGGCAGATCTAGGCCTGCTGCCTCAAACCTGACTTGATTTGCGTGGATGTATGTACTTGGGCACTCTTCCATGAAAGCTTCTGGTATGTATTATGGACGCATCCAGTTTGAATGCAGGGGCACTAGCTTGAGCATGTGTCCGCAATCTACAAACCAGATACAGCATCTCGAGGGCAGCTGTACTAGATCCTGGCCAACCTGCAAGCCTCTACTGCTGAGCCTGCTAAGGACTCCAAAGTGCTTGGACGCAACATCCACAATGGGCAGTGCTCCTGCAGAACCCCGGGAAAATCTGGGAGAATCTTAATGACTTCCAATGTTCGCAACTGCAACGGCATCGAAGGCCTGAAATCAAACCCCGAAAGCCCCCCAAGTCCTGCACCCGAGACAAACACTTAATTCTTGACCGAAACAAGCCCTGCAGACGCAGCTCCCAAGAGCACCGCAGCCGAGCTTGCCAGAATCGCTAGTCCCATTGCCGCGGAGGCTTGAGTAGCAATTCAATTAGGTAGCGATAGGTCGGCCTGAAAAGTGACAGGTGGAGAAAGGCTTGGATCCAGCGTTAAGTCGGGTTGCGGACCTGATACCTTCAGTATGGGCCTGAAGACCATCGGGTAGAACTGCAAGTAGTGCTGTGGGGCACTGTCGGTGGGAGAGGGCAGGAAAACCTATGTGGACACTGCCGCACGCTTCAAGCTGGAAACTGAACCCTCAGCGGTAAGCTGGAAACTCAAGCCTCAACCCTTCATTTCAACTTGAAATCCGTACACCCTGACTTGTACCCGCGCCCACTTGGCCCACAGGCAAAGAGCGTGCAAACAACGCGGAGCCTCAAGGCTCTGGCTGAGAGCCAGAGCCGGCTGCGGCGAAACATTCCGGGATCTTTTGGCTTAAGGTTTAGGCTCGGGGGTCTTTTCTGCCTTAGCTAAGTACTTAAGCAAAAAATCTTGAGGATTCAAGGACCTAGGTGGAGGAAACCATGCTTTTAGGCCAAAGTCCCCAACGCCTGACCAGGCGAGCGGCAAAAGCTGCAGGCTCCAAGGCCACCAGGCCGGCAACCAAACAAGAAAGTCCGTAGCTTTAATGCAAGATGGGTCCTATCAGGGTGTAGGGTTTAGGGCTATTTTGGGGATGAAGAAGGACAAATGAACACAGCAGTGGAGTAGAAGGGATACAGTGCCGGGCTTCCGTGAATGCGAGTCAACTTTTTCAACTTCCTGCTTAAGCGAGGGTGGGTAGCCAATATAAATCCAAATTCTTAACGATAGTATAGGGATGGTTCTAGATACTTCCTCACCTCCTGGGTTGCAAATGCAAGCCTTGCTGTTTAGAGGCTTCGGGTTTCAGCTTACAGGTTACCCGCGCAGGACCTAGACCTAATGTCTTGCATCCTAAGAACGTCTCGACATGGACTCCTTCGCTGTTTACCCTCGTGACCAACGCATACGGTGATTTCCAGGCATCAATGGGAAATCGGTCCCCTTTCTGTTGAAATCTCATCCTTTGCCCACAGTAGATGCAAGTTCTTCTGTCGGATGACTTCTGACTGAGACAATTGAAAGCCCCTGTAAAGATATCAACATTGGCATCTAAGCAGATGAGAGAACACTGCTGGAAGACACCTTGCAACTGCACGGCCAAGACTCCAAAACCTAGATTCTTCCTCAAAGCCTGAGCGTGGCCCAAACAGGAGTGGCCTATTTCATTCCCTGAACATCAAAACTCAGGAGCCCAACTTCCGCCCTGAACTGTGCAACCGTTGGATGCCTTCCATCTTTTTTTTGGTTTCCTCGCGAGCCAGCACACATGTCACGGAGGTGCGGCCTGGATGCAAAAGCCGCTCTAAGAGAGTTTTGGGGAGGGCACTAAGCTTTGGGGAGGTGACGGGTGGGTGTTCTGGGGTTAAGAGACTTGGAGGCAAGTTGAGGGATAAGAAGTCTGAGGGCTTAGATCCTTTCATCTTCACAGCTGGTCTCAACTAAAAACACCTTTGCCAAGCCCTTCTATGCCGTTCCTGAAGTCACGTTCGCCAAAGTAACACAGAGATAACAATGAAAGGAATCTTCTCACCTTCTCAACATCTCATATGCTCTTCTGATACATCAACAGCTCTTCCGGTTGTCCGTTAAGCAGTCAGGCCAATGGGTTCAGAATAGCAATCCACACAGCCGATTGGTTCTCTGCGCACCTAGTTCCATGCTACTGGTGCCCTGTTTTTAAGTGACAACGAGTCAACACTCCGGCAGATTGCTGCCTTGCGACTGCTCATTCCCATGCCTGGAAATCGCATCATATCATAAAATCGTGCTTTTATGTACTCTGCCTTCGTTGAGGCCAGCTACCTGTTGCCACATGAGCGCATGGGATCAACGCAAGTCAGACTCAGCTGCCCTCCGTCTCTGCCAGGTTAGCCTTCCGAAATGTTAAACCCCAACCTCACCCAGAGACCTCACTCATGGCTCTGCCCTGACTCCCAACCACTTGCTGTTTGCCTGGCTTGGACACTTAGCATCTGATGGACTCCATGACGCAAGAATATCCAAAATCTCAAATCTGCTTGCGACAGGAACATTTCACAGGTAGCTACACATCCTCTGCGGGCGTATATTGCTATAGACTACCCTACTTGGGCCTCCGTGCCTTGTATAGAAACATGCAACTATGTGAGCTATACCAGGAGCGGGACAAGAAAGTCCGCTCTCTTCGCCCCCATGATAGCACATCTGCTCAACCGAGCACGCGTCGCTTTAAAGTTGTGAACTCAAAGCCACACCCTTTCGCAAGCTCGTTCACAAATCCCAAGCTCGTTCCGACTCAAAATCTGAGCAACATCTGTCGTGTGAGACAAGCCACGCCTAGGGCTGTAACCCTACGCCAATTTTCCATGAAACTCAAAACGCAATGAAATCCTAAACAGCAGAAGCAGCGGCGCTAACAACAAGTAGGAAAGGCAACTACACCAGCAAACCAAATACTGGAGAGAAAAATTAAGATGTTAAAACTCAGACTCAGGGGCACGTGCTGAAGCAAAGTCCAGGTCCAGACCTGTCAAAATTGTAGACCTCGTTTGAGAATCGCATGCGTTGCGACTCCTCCTTTGGTACCCAATCATAAGGAACCCTGAAACCGAAACCTTAAACCCTAATGCAGATCCCTGATTACTGACCCCGTAAAAGCGGTTCTAAATCCAATTGATACCCTCCATGTGCTGGTGTATGCTTCTGAAAGTCGTGGGCGCTCTCAGGCGTCGGGGGTTTGGGCGAAGGCAAAGCACTGAAAACTGCCCGGTAAACAGGTGAGAGGAGATAGCGTGCTTGCTTTCAAGCCCCAAGACAACTCACCTAATTGCCCTTCCACATGATAACAGGTCGGCATGCATTGCTGGAATAGAGCATCAGTGCGGAGCTCGAAGCAAAGCCTCCCAAATCTTCTTGAAAACGGTCCAGGGTTTAACGACACAATCTTGAGGAGTCTTTAGGTTCAGGGCGAAAACTTGCTTTCTGATGTATCTCCTTAGATACTGCTTACAGGCACGTAGCACTTATGTCCTCAAAGTCTAAACCCTCAACTTTTCCATCCAAAACCCCATTTATCCTAACCCCGAACTGCGAAGCCCCTAAACCACTGCCGACAAGCAACCTGTCACAGCAGAGCAGAGGGCAGTGGTCACGACTATGGCCTGCTGTGTTCGTTGACCTGAGCCACTCTAAATGGCAGCATACCGCGATTATGATCCCTTTTGGGGACTCCAGATTCAGAACCATGCTATTCAGGAACCTCAAACGCTAACACACGTGCATGGAGACTCTGCTGTCAAATTACATTCATGTGATACACGTTGTAGGGTTTAAGGGTAAAGTTCAGGGTTTAGCGTTCAAGGTTTTGGGTGTTGCTAAAGGATTGAAGGTTAGGACTTTGAACATTGCTCCTGCAGATTGTTCCAAACTAGGGAGAAAGGAAAAACTGAAGAATGGCACAGTGGCTGTGAGCCCAGTGGAACTCATTCGCCAGCCTCAGTGGGGAAGAAGCAGGTTTTTGAGGCTTGGGATGGAGGCTTACATAAGGGACAATGGGGCGTGTGAAAGTCATGTGCTTTTACTTGTCATCTAAATGGAAAAGAGAACTGAATGACATGAATACTGGGATGATGTAGGAGTTCAAGCGGGTTCGCGTTGCTTTACCAGTTTAGAGTTGGGGTTAAGAGTTTGGGGTGTAAAGTCACATGCTTTGCAGACTTGTTGCTGGGAAAAATACCAATTTTGAGGGTTTTGAGGGTTGTGAAGGTTTATCAGGGTTTACCAACACACGTTACTTGTCACACAAACTCGGAGCCTACAGGAGAAGAGCCGAAGTAGGATACGAAACCACAGGCCGCGATCCGTAGCGGGCTCGGTCTTGAATGTCCTCACTCGGGTTCTGACTTCCCGGTATCGGGAAAGGCTGGCTTGAAACCCATACAGCGGAGGCCGCGGTCATGTCATGCTGCAACAGACACTCATCAGGGTTTAGAATTGGCGGGGATCTTGGGCCTGGAGTTTAGGAATCCAGGGGCCTAAAGGCTCACAAGTAGGGGTTCTAGACAAGACGTCATGTCAGGATCTTACGGAATGCGGCGCTGGACTGGCCGAGCAGCAACGTGGCGACAATAACGATCAGAAAGGCCGACATGAGAAGGAGGCTGATTTCTGTCCTGCGGCACGGCCAGACAAACAAGGCAAAACCGAGCGAAAACGCTCATAGGAGATCAAGGAATCCATGAAGCTGGCCTTTGGTTGTTAGCTGGGAAGGAAAGGATGAAAAGGACAATGGATCCGTTCCGTCATTCCCAGCTAACCCAAGGTAAGTTAAGTTCTGCCTGCGTGTGTCTCAAAATTCCTGAAGGCTCTGGCACGAATGCACATTTCAACTCCCGGCGCTCCTGTTCCAGGCTTTGTTGTTGTACGGCTGGCAGAACATGTAGAGGGTCAGGGAAATCAGGACAATGACGCCTGAGGCAACGAACACTGGCTTGGCTGAACCTGACCAATACGGATTTTTGCCCTGCCCTCTCGAAGCTTAGTGGGCAAATGGATGGTCCCAGCAACGGCTTGCCGTACTGCTATGATTCCCAACATCAATGATGGATGACGAAGCCAGAAGCAGGGTACACGATGAAGGCTCGAAAATGAGCCCAGTCTAGGCTCAATAACCTTCTGGGGGCATCCCACCAACAGCTCTGCGCTTCTTCAAATGAGGCTGTGGGCTGACTCCCTATGTGCGCGGATGAAGCATTTTGTAGGCCATCACGAATTGTTCTGAGTTGCAGGCTGCGACCGCCTACAAGCGCCACTCGGGTTGCACAGCAACTTTTTGGTTGAAATGATCCTGTAGGACCCTGGATTCTGGCAAGCATTCATCCTAAACTCCGAACCCGAACACCCAAACCTTAATCTGAAGGCCCCTGAAGCCCCTCAACCCCTTCATTCCTAAACCCAAGCCTGAAGCCCAGTTTTACAATGCTCTGATCAATTTAAGAAGCAAGGCTTTGAGCACCTAGTTCGGACGAGCAATGGGATTCGGCTAGCCCCGTTTGTCTTTTGGCATTCCTATCAACACCTGAGTTTTCTATGAGGACTGTTCTCAGAAACTCCTCGGGAATAAGTCTCGTCGTTAGAATGGAAACAAAGGCCACAACAAATCTCCCGAAACCTACACATGGGAAACTATAATACAGGGTGTCAACCAACAGGAAGATCCCATATGAACACAACATTGTGCTGATTGATGCCCTTCATCCACCAGATGCATATGAGGTTTTGCTGAGCTTACAACCGAAGACTAGGAAACTTACACCCCACAGCCCAAACCCTATCACTATCACGCAAGCCGTCACAACTAAACCCCACGCCCCTAGCCCTGAATCCCTCAAGTCTTAGAAATCCCTCTTGCCTAGACAACCCATCTGGAGAGCAGGGGAGGCTGCTATCGGGAGCAACCCTCCAATGAACGTGATCGCCGTCTTCCTGCATGCCGAGCCGACTCTGGGACGCAAATGTTTGAAAGGTTGGAGATTAAGGCTTGGAGACTGCCAACATCAATGGTATGCCCGTCAAATCACACCGTTTGGGGGCTCCCACAAAAAGTTGGAAAGACTTAGCAAAGAAAACCTGCGCAACGCTGAGAATGCCATATCAGCCCTCAACACCCAAAAGTCCAACCTCTACTCCCTAAACCGCCGTGGCGCTCCTTAGGAGTCGCTCGGTCTCGAAGAACCTGTAGGGCTCTTTGTACTTCCCGGTGAGGAAAAGCACGTGGCTAGGAGGCGGATCCTGCAAAGCCCCCAGAAGAGTCGCTGCAATAGAAGGTGTGCGGTTTCGGGCTTCGGGGTTCAGGGTTAAGGTTCAGGGTATACGGCGTGATGTCTGGCGTTTGTTGCTGAGGGCTTTTCGTTTAAGGTTTAGGGCTGGGGTTCAGGGTTTAATGCTTAGGTGCTTAGGGTTGAGGGTTGACTTTTATAGCACCTTTGCTGCAGCCAGCTACCCATCGTGTCTGCCCATCTTTCTGCCTATTCACCCGCTGCTGGAGCGCTTAACCCTAGACCATACAACCTAACATCTTATGGCCCTACCCGTCTCTCGTGAGGGGAACTAGGAGTAGTGCTGCAGCCGTAGTCAGGACTGCAAGAGTAGCAAGAGCAGGAGGAAGGGGAGGAGCAGCAGCAGGAGCAGTAAACATACCATCAAAACAAAACCAATGGCACTCACAGAGTTGGCAAATTCCAGGGCCTATAGGGCTTAGGATTTAAGGTTTAGGGCCTAGGCTTCAGGAACATACGAAATCGCCCCAAGTGTCTGTCTCTCCTGCTTTGCACGACGCCCGCTGCCAACTCTGAAGATTGGGGGGGTTTAGGGCGTTCGGGGTTCAGGGTGGGACACTTGAGGATTCCCAAGCCCCAGAGTTGAGGCTTGGGGCCGCTAAAGGTAAACGTGCAACCACAATACGGAAACCCAAAATCTTCGTGACCTTGCATGTATATATATATATATGTAATATGCATTATACTAAAAATGTAAGCGCTCATCTTTGAAACGCATCTTGCCAGCCGCCTCTTGAAGCTTGAGCACATGTCACACCCTAGACCGCCCCGACCCACCTCTGTAGATCTGCACATCTGCAGCCTGAGTCAACCAGCAATACAAAAACTTAATTTTGGTTAGCTAGGAATGACATTGTACTATCATAGTAGTTTCCATGTTCTTTTCCATTCCTTCATTCCCAGCTAACCAAGGGCCGGAAAAATTCGAAGTTCAGAGTCGACTGTGGAGGTACGAGGGCTTCGGGCGGGGAGGGGCTTAGCAGGCTGGGCATTTTCACCATCCAAACCGAAGTCTCAGCTTTGAGAGCATGGCGTCGCTTCCACTGAACATCTTCGATGCGCAAAGGTCTGCAATACATGAAACAAAGAGGCTTCCTCAAACCTACGGGTCCCTTTCTGAGGGGTGCCGCTCATAATTGGAGACATACCCTGACCTCCAAGTTAGGAAAGAATTTCAAAACAGAAGGTCCTGCTTTTCGATGCTCCTGGATGACCCTCAACGTATTCCGAGGATTATAGAAACCCAGCCCCATTCTTATGGCTTCATATCCCCGCAAAGCCCTTGAAACCTGAACCCCAAATCCCCGCCCTGAAATCCTCTCCCAGACTCCGAATCCTAAAGCTTTGCCCTGAGCCTTCAGCATACGCACATCAAACTGCAGGCCCGAGCTACAAGTTCTCGGGTTAAATATAGTGGTCCGGTGTGGGGCCTTAGGGCTTTAGGGATTGAGGGGTCCAAATCCGCACTTCCAGACAGGCGGCCAGGTGAAGAGAGCAGCAGCCAAGCAAAGTGCCAGGCCCCCAAGGACCTGGAAACGCGCTGCCATGCCGCCGGCACTTCTTAGGATTCTGTGTGAAGTGTGGTGGCAGCGTGCACAAGAGTGCCCTAAACCCTACAGCCCAAACCCAGTGGTGAAGGGGATCTCCCCTGCAATTACGTTTAGTACTGATCCTATCCTAGAAATGCGGGGCCATGGGATACATGACAGGACGGATCATCGGGAACTGCGGTGTAGCCGGGGCTGCGGTTTCGGGTTTAGGGTAAGTTTAGCGTTTGGGGTTTAGGAGCTGAGTGAGAGGCTATTGCAGGTGTAACAGCAGACCTCCATACTCTTTCCTTTGGAATATGAGACTAGTACGAAGCTTTGATGCCTGTGGGTTAGTGTTTCAAGGGTGTAGGGGTCTGAAGCCTGAACCCTGAACCTTCCGCAACAAACTGCTTGAGTTGTAGGATTGGGATTTCCACAGATTGGTGCTTTGGAGCTTTGCAAGCTGTGTGCTACAGGTTTCAGCCGTGGCTGGCGTTGCCCTGAAACGACACATCCCTGACCCTGCCCTTCCCTGAACTAGCATGGAACCTGAAAAGGAGCAGTCCAAAGAGCACCTACCTCTCTTTTAACGGAAGCTTGATGGGACATCAAGAAAAATTCAAGCCTGGCACGACCGCATTTACACCACCCCTACTCCTGCGGCCTGGGGCGGCATTTCCTATTGGGGGAAGTGATGCCTGATTAGGTCTAATTTAAAAACGCCTTGGCAACTGCAATGGGCATCGAGCCACCGCCCGGCAAGAACGGGCCTGGGACGCTTCAGGTTTTATTGCAGGGACCTGAACAGTTAGAGCAGGTTTTTGAGTGAAATATCTGCGGCCTTGTTCAGGCTTCTAAGTTAAACCCTCCCTTTGACCATTGACCTCTTGAAAGGGGGCCCGAATTGCTTGAGGTTTCCGGAGAAAAAAGTTTGCTGATTCGGGAACTGTGGGTCAAGGGTTGCCGGGACTGTTCTGAGCATGTACAGTAAGGGCTTCGGGCTATGGGTTAGGATCTGATCCAAGGTCCGTTGCGTAGTGTCAAGGCCGCCAAGCTCTTTACCCAAGAAGCGGGAATTGCAACGCAAAATACATTAAGATCGAATCTAGAATCTAGACGCTTGGAAACCTATAGATCAGGGCCGTTTGGCACGAAAGCCTCCAATCTTCCGTAGCCTCCCCCCAGCGAAAATTTCTGAGGGAAGAGCCTCACGGACTCGCGTCCATTTGCAGCACCAATGGGCGCTGCATGTCGGTCCAAGGGATCCCAGTTCTAATCGCATTCCAAGGCTGGCGGGGTGCATGGATCTAATAAACTATGGAGCCCTCACCCTGTAATAGTGGTATAGGGTTTAGGGTTTAGGGGTAGAATAGGAATATGAGAGGACCCTAATATGATCCTCATTATCCCTTATAGTGACTATTACTGGGTGGGGGGGGTCCACCTGAGATCTAACAGTCTATGAGATTCGAACGTGCGAGGCTTGATCGGTCCTTCGGATGGAGCACGGCCCAATATCCACTGTTTCAAGGTGCCTGAAATGTGCCGTTGTCCGCTGCCAAACAAGGGCCTACAACCCATGGCATTCTAGACATCGGAAGACAGTCCTTGCAGAAAAAGGACCTTGAGAGAAAGATGATCCCTGTAATCCATCTTCGTAATCCATCTTCGTATTGCTGCCGGGCATGTGGATTAGCACGGGGCGGCTAGCCGTTCGGAAAAAAGGCAAACCAAGTCCCATTCTACCCTGCGTTCAGAGATTAAAAGTTGGGGATGCTGCGCCCAGAATCAAAAGAAAGCATCAGATCCCGGCCGAGCTTGGACTCTGCGTCCAAGAAGCAATGCAGGCCTGTCATTCCCGAGCCATCGTCCGGCTGGAGGCGAAAACCTGGGAATGTCACCAAGAAAACGCCTTCGAATCCGAAAAGCTAGGGCTCCCACGAAACTTGAGGATATCAAGTGTAACCCGCAGATGAAGAAGCTGAAGCTCGGACATTCAACTGCGGCGAAGCTCTCATCACCACCCCCGGAATCCCCACAACAGTGTTTAATCAAGAAGGTGCCCACTGCAACTATCCTTACAAACAATGTGATCTGCAGCAGTTTCTTGGATCGACGATTGGGGCCCAGGCAGACGATGTACTTGCTGAAGCCGGCGGCGATCGGCGGTAAGAAGCAGTTAATGCCTGAGGTTCGATGGTTTGGGAGTTAGAGTTCAGGGGTGAGGGTTCAGGGTATTTCTTCAAGCCGGTGGACTCTTACGTCTGCTGGAGGCACCAGCTCTGGTGGCAATCTCGGAAAGAAAATTGTGCCGCGATCAGGGTCTTCAGGGGTTTAGGGATTAGGGTTCAGGGCTTAGGGTTTTTGGCTAGGGGATTTGGGGCTCTTCTGAAAATGGCAATTCAGGCTTAGAGCTTTCGTACTTGGAAAGGCAGTGTATCTCCGGCACTGTCCTCACTCATCCCCTGCCCTCTCGAAGAAAACAGGCCCACTCCCCTTCCAAAAAATATTCCGCAAGATATGTCGGGGGGAGAATGAACTAGTCATTCTTAAAGGGTGGAAGGCTTCGGGGAGAAGCCTAAAACTGGCTGCAGACTAGATACCTCACAGTCCAAATTCATGCTTGGCAAGATGCTAGTTGAGGGTTCAGGGCTAGAAAATCACGAGTTCAGAATGCAGCGCATCCATGGAAGAATTTCTGCAGCTGGCTAGTATGTGACTGGAACGTACCTGAAGCCGCAAGAAAGCGGCTTTGGACACTCAATGATGACAAACATTACGTCAGCACCCAACACGCTCACCGAAAAAGGATATGACCTCCTGGAGTCAAGGCTCAGAATGGAAGCTGTGCTGCATCTGCATGTCTCCTCCAACTTGAAATATCCCTTACAAGGCGAGCCTAGCCCAAAAGTACTGTTCATAAGCAGGCTCTCTAGGCCGTCAACCGGGTGGGCCTGCGACAACTCCTGCTCGGCTGCGAACGCATAGAACGAGCAGGAACGCCAGAGCCTCAGCTGCTCCTTTAGGCCCTTTAGGCAAGCATGGCAGTTTGGAAATTGGAAACCTCTATGATCCCTATGTAACCCTGCCGCAGGGTATTTTGAGAAACTTTAACATGCCTCAGTAACAACCCAGGCAGCTAAAGCTTTGTGTTGAGGGGGCTTCGAGCGCGGCACCCAACCTCAAACACCTGTCACTTGAGAATGCGGGCGTGTTCAGAGTCCCCATTTTTGGGGGATTTTAGTGTTCTGGAGGTCTATATTGGAATCCCCCCCTATTTCTGGAAATCACCATGCCATTCTGCAGCTGGGTCGCCACTTCGAGCGCATGGGCCCCCCATCTGGGCAGCAGTTAGGCACAGTTCGGGCAAGCAAGGTCTGATGTCTTCTTGGGTTTAGGGTCCTAGGGCACTAAGCTTCATGTTCGGTCAATGATTTGGGGTCCTAAACATAATATTCTCTTGAATTCAGGGCTTGGATGATTTCGATAAATTAGAAGGGCTTTCTGTACCTGTACGTGAAGGGACGCTCATGTCAGCTTTGCTTTTTTGCTGGGCTCTGAAGCGTTCCAGTCCTGAAAACCGCAGCAGCCCTTTGGCGCG